TCGGTGGTTGCCCAGGGCTGGCCAGAGGAGCCATGCGCTGCTGTACATGCAGAGTGGCGAGAGGAAGAGCCAGAGGTGACTCAGGCCACCACCACCACCACCACCCCCCGCCCCCATCCTGCCAGACGTGAGTGCCTTTGCTCGCCTTCCGGGGCTGCCGGAGGTGAGAGCAGTCCCCCGGTGGCAGCGAGCCTCAGACTTTGTTCCCTGTGGTTTGTTAGTATGTGGGTGGGGCAGGCTGGTTTCATCCTTGCAGTCTTCCCCCTTTGTCACTCAGGGAAGTCCAGAGTGTGGCACGGCACCCTGAACCATGTGAGGCGTGAGTGCACAGCAGAGGAGTGCACAGCAGAGGAGTGCACCAAGTGCTGTCGGGTCCAGAGGACCAGGTAGTGGGCCCGTGGTTTCCTGGACCTGTCACTTTGATCTTGCCCCAGCCTCGGTGGGACGTCCTTCGCTTTCTAGAGTTGTTGGTGATCTTTATGCAGTCGGGTCAAAGAGACAGTGTCTGCACTAGTTGGATTTTCCTTTTTTACTCACTCCTTCCCTTCCTCCACTTTCATAAGCAACCAGTATACTTCTTTCTTGTTTGGTCTCTAATTCTTTGGTCCCGTGTTTTAACTTTTAGACTCTTCCCGTCAGCCATTAAACTGGATATAGAAGCTGAAAGATGTTTGTTTGGGTTTTATTAGTGCTACTTTATTTGTCTTCAGTTGTATGGGGAGGAAAGCATTCTTGGGTCCTTATGATATACGAGGCACTTTACATATGCCCTTCTATCTGATTTTCTCTCCCAGGGAGAGAGTTTGGAACAGGACCCGGGCATGATTAACACTATTATGATATTCATGTTAGCCACTATTGTTGCTCTTATTTCCTAGGGATACTTATTTATTTATATTTCATCCCTCCCTAGTGGATTTGAAATGCTCATAGGCATTTACTAAAACAATATTTTAAAGGGAACGTTTTAAAGATTTTAATCTCTGCTTCCCCCACCTCCCAGTCAGACTCCCTCCTGGCTGCTGTGAGCCCATGACTGACCTCTCTCCACTAGGCCCTGCCCAAGGGCTGCTGTTTTTAACAAGGCAGATTTCATGAACTGCAAAATACTTTTTAGCCATAGATACTTTACAGAACTCCTTTTACATGTTGAGAATTGTACAAGGCAAAGGGAGTTTTAATACACACTGCATGTGCAGTCAAAAGGACTGGTACTGGACATACCGCTAACTCTGTGTGTGTGTGTGTGTGTGTGTGTGTGTGTGTGTGTGTGTGTGTGTGTGAGAGAGAGAGAGAGAGAGAGAGAGAGAGAGAGAGAGAGAGATCAGTTTCTCCTCACTGTGTTTCCATATCTATAAAGTGGGATTGATGGTTCTCAGCCTTTCCACCTCTTCTCTCGTGTTGTGGTGATCATGTATATGTCTTAACATAATTAGAAAGTGCTCTGGAGGTGGTATAGCCCTGTGCACTAGTAGGTCTGGTTAAATGTGCTGTTTGTACAGAGGAAGATAACCCCCTGTCCTTGGCTGAAAGGAATTTTCAAGTTACATGGAGAGTCGGAAGTAGCAGCACATGAGAATCAATGATCAGCACCAAACCTAATTTAATATTGACTTGTAAGGCACAGCCTAACCTCGTAGCTTGGTAAAACTTAAGGCCTGATAAGTTATCATTTTACAGACTCCTGTGTGTTTGCAGAGTGACTGAGACCCAGCCTGAGTGATGATGGCAAGTCTTAATTGATGAACACTGGCATCTATAAGAGTTGAAGGAATAAGATGTTAGAATTTTTTTTTTTTTTTTTTTTTTTTTGCGGTAGGGGGCCTCTCACTGTTGTGGCCTCTCCCGTTGTGGAGCACAGGCTCCGGACACACAGGCTCAGTGGCCATGGCTCATGGGCCCAGCCGCTCCGCGGCACGTGTGATCTTCCCGGACCGGGGCACGAACCCGTGTCCCCTGCATCGGCAGGCGGACTGTCAACCACTGCGCCACCAGGGAAGCCCAGATGTTAGCATTTTTGAGTTGAGTTGTTAGGGAACTTTTCAAGATTATCCAGTCTCTGGAAAATGTCAAATGGCACTGATTTTTTAGAGCCTTTTTTTTTTTTTTTTTTTTTTTAAAGAAATATCATAGTTAGGATGTTGCCCTGTGTGTGTTAAAACTTGAAGGCGACTGGGTTAACTTAATTAGGAGTTTATTTCTGTTAGCTTGGAAGAAGGATAGGTATTTTTTGAGTAGCTTGTCATTTGTTATAAGAAATACTTTCCCTTTCTTGGAGACTGTGGAGCTTCCCTTTTTGGTGTGCTTCCTAGGTCGCGTAGGAGAACTGGGGCCTTCATCTGCCCCACTGGATCTGCTTCAGAGCTGCATTGTGCCTGAACCGAGGTGAAAGTACACTGCTGGGGCTTCCAGCCGTCAGCCTGGGTCTGGTACTGGATCCCAGGGAGGAATGTTGTGAAGTGGGGCAATCTTAATGGAGCATCTTTGGGTCCTGGCTTCAGAGGTCCTCACCTGCCTGCCTCTGAGAGGGCCCTGCTCAGTGTGGACTCTGGAACGCGTCCCTTAGTTGAACTTCTTGAGGACAGTGGGAGAGTCTCCTCCTTACAAACATACTGTAAACTCATCCTCCTTTTGAAATCGTGGCCCCATCTGGGACTTCTCTTCCCAGCTGCCTGGGGGCCCTTCTTCCTCTACCTGCTTCCCTTCCGCTCACTGCCACAACCCGAATGGTGCCACTCATCAGGGCCTGGGCACCTGTGGCTGTGCTGACAGAACTGGGCGTTCAGCCTGTCCCTGCAGCCCACGAGCCCTGACCAGAATGTCCCTGCCTAGCTGCTGCTTGGGTCCCGGAAGCCCTGCTTCTGGTGCTGTCGCTGGTAACAGGGAGTAGGGGAGTCCCAGTTTCTGTTCCCACTGCTTGAGGTCTGAGTTAGGATCAGATCCTTAGGGGTTTGATTCTGAAGTGCATGGCACTTCGGGAGAGCAAAGGAGAAAGAACAGCACTCTGACATTGTTTGTTTTTCACCTTAAGAATATGTGCCCCCAGATAAAACAGCCACAACATAAAAATCAGACCAGTCGCCCCACCCGCTTTCTGTAACTTAGGTGTTGGGGTAGCCTGGGAACCTAATTACAGTATGCCTGCAGGAAAAGCTTTCTGAGTCCTGAGCACTGGACTTTTAAATGAAAATTTGGAGCGCAGTCACAGCTTATTAATAGGGTTATCATTAGTAACTAATTACCATTGAGGCAATAATCTCATTAATAAATTAGAGTATTCCTGTGATGCCCTTAGCACAATCCGTGATATATACAGTAACCTTCAATAAATATCAACTGCTGCTATTACTACCACCACCTGCATTTTTAGGATGGAAAGAGTCATACTTAATATACGTATGCTCATATGAAGGATCCATTTAAAAGACACACAGTGAAGACTGTGATCGATTCCAAATAGGTAGATTAGTATTAATACGCCTGCTAGAAAACTTGGAAATGCTGGGAGTAATGACAGGTACCCTAAAGATGTGACAGGCCCATCTCACATCAGCTTACACTTCGGTTAGAGACATAATGTCAACAATCCCGAACCAATAACAGTGAGATTAAATGTAGTTTGTTCGTTTGCTCATTCGTTGAATAAGCAAACATTTACTGAGCACTGAGTATGTGCTCAGAAAAGGAAGGGATCAGCTCGTGGTGAATCCTCTAAGGAGGCTTCAGCATGTAGAAGGGATTTTTAAACAGGGAGATAAGCAGTGGGTGATAAGTCCAGCAGGAGCAAAGATAGTCTGAGAATTGTGACAGGATACCCTGCGGTTGGTCGGTCGCATCACAGGAGGAAATTGTTTTGTCCTTACTTCTAAACCATAAAGAGCATTGTAAAAATAAACAGAACAAAACCCCTTCAGACCCTTTGATCCTAGGTGACAGACTCTGTTGGGGCTAATTCACTAGCCTGCTGATAAGGTGTGTGTCATCGGGGCATGCTGAAGAAGGAGCTTAATCCAGGCAGCTGGGTCCTGAATGCACTCTGACCCTGTGCACTCCCATTTAAGTCTTGCAGTTAAGGGCCTGAGCTGCTGGGATCCAAATAAAGATCAGAGGACCTGGCCTCTATTCTCAAGGACTCAAGCCAGTGTTGCTTGCAAGCGGATCACATATGGCTCAGCGTCTTTAAATCAGAAGTGGCTGTTTGTAGATTTGTGGAGTGAATGCTGCTGCTTTCCTTCATCATATCCGTCCTCTTTTGCCAAGATGTTTTTCCATCCTGTTTTTCTTAGGTTAAATTTTAATTCTGCCGTCAAGTGTCCCTTCCCGTGCTTGCGTATTCCCGGCGCTGGTTACGTAGAGGTTTCCATTCTAAGCTGCTAAAGGAATAAAGTCACGTCAGCCTCTCTGGATTGTCTTGAACAGATGTTATAAAGTTTAATTCTAAGGATCAAACTTCTGCTTGACTTTATAATTGTATGTTTGTTTTATAGATTTTTCTCCTGCATCTTTTCTGTATTAACTATTGTGCTGCCCTGCCCCCTCTCTTTAAACACAAATGTTATTAATTTGGGAAAAATACTTAAAGGTTCAAGGGAATTTAATGAGATTTGAATTCTTCTGTGAGCAATTCATCTTTGTTAAAAGACAGGCTATATCATTTCCAAATTACATAGATTTACTGTTAGCTCTCAGATACTTTTAGACAGCTTTTTCATTATGGTCTTATCAGAGTTTTCTTTTTCTTCCCCTGTAGAATGATTTAGCAGTTTATTTCCCCTGATAAGCAACATTCTACTAATTTACTAAAATACACTGTATGAAACATACTTTGATAAAAATCTGTGCGGGCCAGAAAGCTTTCCATTGATCATGGGGAAGGGTGTGTGCGTGTGTGTGCGTGCGCGCGCGTGTGCGCGCGTGTGCGTGTGCGTGTGTGTGTGTGTACTCTCAATGGCACCAGCAATTCCTGGCTTCCTTCAAAGTATTTTGGTCTCTCATTTCAGCCACAATTACAAGTTCATCCGAAAATGATGACCGGAGTGGCTCCAGTTTGGAATGGAATAAGGACGGAAGCCTAAGGTTAGGGGTACAGAAGGGAGTGCTTCATGACCGCAGGGCAGATAATTGCTCCCCAGTGGCAGAAGAGGAGCCCCCTGGGCCAGCGGAGAGTGTGCTGCCCAAAGCCGAAGCCTCAGTTGGAGATGGTCCGGTCCCTTATTCTCAGAGCTCCAGCTCGCTAATAATGCCACGGCCCAACTCAGTTGCAGGTAAGGCCATGCCTCTCCCTGGAAGGGGATCTCACTGGGTCTGAGGTGCCCCCTGCTCACTCTCTTCACTTGGGAATCTGATCCAGACACAGGCCAAACTTGTGATCGTGGGTCAGGCCCTTACCTTTTGTAGGCCTTAGTTTACCTATCTGTAAACATGAGGGTAAACATAAGGCTGCACTTAATGGTCTTTAAGTGACCCTCCCCCTCTGGATTTCTTTAAATCTAATATTTAGACTATATGGCTCTTTGTGTTTGAGGGAAGAAAGCACCAAAAACTCTGTCCTTGTTTTTTGTTATTTTGAGCCGGAGTTCATTCAGGATTTACAGCTTAGTCAATGGGAATTGTTGTTTAGAATGAGTTTGTTAATATTAGCTCAAAGAATTTCTAATCCAACTTTCAAACTAATTTTTTGTAATTGAGGCCCATCACATAGATACGAGGTCCAATTTTTGTATAATTCAGTTTTAAGGGAGCTCATCATTTAAAACATAAGCAGCAGGAAGGAGAGCTCTCCATCAAGGAAATGAAAATAGGTGAGACAGACGTGCCCTTCAGCAAGATGTGGCAGCCAGAGCTGAGAAGAGAATGCAGAAGTGGTGACTGGTGCTGGTTGACTGGTCAGTGAGTGGTTGTGAGGCAAGGAGACTAGTTCTCAGTGGGTGGGGAAGGGAACTCTGCATCTGAGCTGTCGTGCCTGCTTTAAGGTCCCAAGTTTCTAAACTCAGTGCTCTTCTGCTGAATTTAGAAGAGGAACTTGTTTTGATCATCTTTGTTACCAATGAGGCCTTTAAATTTCTCCTCTGCCAAGGCCTGGACCCAGGATCTTTCTTCCTACATCAAAGGATTTCTCTGTGATTTTATATTGCTCCTTTGGGATGTGCCAGGCCGCTCTGGTTGTTATTGGGTGTGTTTTACAATGGAACTCTGAAGCAGCTGATAAATAAATGGCCCTAATGGAAAAGTTCAGAGACACAACTCTTAATTCACTTTCAAAGGGATTTGGCGTGCCTGCCAGAGGGAAGTACTGAGAGCTTTATACATATTGAGTGATGATTCTTCCAGAAGCTTTTGTGTCCTTCCCACCACCCTCCCACTATCTACGGCATAATATGTTGCACCCAAGGCATTTTAGACCATTTTTACCTGGATGTGATGAATGGTTCATTTGTATTATCCCAGGACTTCATAGTTTTATTGACTTCAACAAAATAGCAAACTCATATTCAATTTAATGAAGCTATTTCAAAATTAGGAAACACATTAATAAATTAACAGTGGTAAAAGGACCCTCTTTCGGGTTATGTTTTCTGCTTGATGTTCTTTTATGTGGTTTCCTGTCACGTGAAGTGACAGTGGGTATGAACTGAGCGTTTCCAGGAGACTGCAGTGATTATAGAGCAGGCCTTTCTGATTTCTGCTGTGCTCATTCATTAGCATCTATGGATGCACTTGAACTGGACCTCCTGTGGAATTGGGAGGGTTTTACCTCTGGTGTTGAGCAGTGACTGCCTAGCCTAATGGGTTTGCTCATTTCTCCGTGTTGTGTATTTTATAAACTAAAAACATATTTTGGAAGGAAATAGGCAAGTGCCTTACATCATAGTATCAATTCTGCTAACAAGCTGGGAGTCTGGTAGATTCTTCATTGCCCACCCTCTTACCCCTAAAGCTGAACCTCAGTTAAGAGGGAATGCCAAGATTTTTCAAGTATCATTGAAAAGAATAAAAGACTCAGGTAATAGACTATATGCAGTGCTGTTTATCTAGGGGTTAGAAGGCAGGCTGCTACAAACAGGGCAGTAGGCAGCGCTCAGCGTTCGAAGGATTGAAGTAAAATGGGAAGGACCGTGTACTGAAATCTCTTGGAAATGTTTGCATGTCAAGATCCATGTAAACACAGAGAAATTGCCATTTGATAGGAAAGGTATTTTGGTATGTGAGGGCCGAGTAAGGACTAGCAGGTGAAGGTAGGGTGATGCCAGCTTCCCCAAGGGACATGGTTCTCCTGGGGGGTGAGGATATGGAAACAAGCTCCTAAGGCTGCCTGCCTGTACTGTCACTGAGCCTGTTACAAAGAACTGGAGTTGTCGCTTCAGTGTTAACTGTCTCATACAGTGAAATTTTTTGGTCAAAGATTATGAAAGTAAGTTGGCCAGCTATGGTGATTGTTTTGCTCTGCAGAGATTTTCTTTGTAAAAGCATTTGTTGAAGTGGAATTGATTTAGAAAGCTGCAGTCAGGTTATTACTGTATATGCCACATCAAAATGTATGACACGGACACCTTATTCCTTCATTAAAAAGCAGAATGAGAAGCCTTTAAAATGATATCTTGGATAATCCAGAAGTTGGGTAATTGGGTTCTACCTGTTTTTTAAAATATTTATTTATTTATTTATTTTGGCTGCGCTGGGTCTTAGTTGTGGCATGTGAGATCTTCGTTGTGGCATCTTTTGTTGTGGCATATGGACTCTTTTTTTTAATATTTGAATATTATTTTATTTTTTTATACAGCAGGTTCTTATTAGTTATCTTTTTTATGCATATTAGTGTGTATATGTCAATCCTAATCTCCCAATTCATCCCACCACCACCACCCCCGACCCGCCCTGCTTTCCCCGCTTGGTGTTCATACGTTTGTTCTCTACATCTGTGTCTCAGTTTCTGCCCTGCAATCCAGTTCATCTGTACCATTTTTCTAGGTTCCACATATATGCGTTAATATACGATATTTGTTTTTCTCTTTCTGGCTTACTTCACTCCGTATGACCATCTCTAGATTCATCCACATCTCTACAAATGACCCAATTTCATTCCTTTTTATGGATGAGTAATTTATTCAGCCACATCATCTTTATCCATTCGCCTGTCCATGGGCATTTAGGTTGCTTCCATGACCTGGCTATTGTAAATAGTGCTGCAATGAACATTGGGGTGCATGTGTCTTTTTGAATTACGGTTTTCTCTGGGTATATGCCCAGTAGTGGGATTGCTGGGTCATATGGTAGTTCTGTTTTTAGTTTCTTAAGGAACCTCCATACCGTTCTCCATACTGGCTGTATCAATTTACATTCCCACCAACAGTGCAAAAGGGTCCCCTTTTCTCCACACCCTCTCCAGCATTTGTTGTTGGTAGATCTTCTGATGATGCCCATTCTAACTGGTGTGAGGTGATAACCTCATTGTAGTTTTGATTTGCATTTCTCTAATAATTAGTGATTCTTTTTTTTAAAATTGGAGTATAATTGCTTTACAGTGTTGTGTTAGTTTCTGCTATACAGTGAAGTGAATCAGCTATATGTATACATATGTCCCCTCCCTCTTGGACCTCCCTCCCCCCCACCCCCCATCCCATCCACCTAGGTCATCACAAAGCACCAAGCTGAGCTCCCTGTGCTATACAGCAGGTTCCCACTAGCTATCTATTTTACACATGGTAATGTATTTATGTCAAACCTAATCTCCTAATTCGTCCAACCCTCCCCTTCCCCCTCTGTGTCCACATGTCCGTTCTCTATATCTCCGTCTCTATTCCTGCCCTACAAATCGGTTCATCTGTACCATTTTTCTAGATTCCACATATATGCATTAATATACGATATTTATTTTTCTCTTTCTGGCTTACTTCACTCTGTATGACACTCTCTAGATCCATCCACATCTCTACAAGTGACCCAATTTCGTTCCTTTTTATGGCTGAGTAATATTCCATTGTATATATGTACCACATCTTTATGCATTCATCTGTCTTCGGACATCTAGGTTGTTTCCGTGTCCTGGCTATTGTAAATACTGCTGCAGTGAACATTGGGGTGCATGTGTCTTTTTGAATTATGGTTTTCTCAGGGTATATGCCCAGTAGTGGGATTGCTGGGTCATATGGTAGTTCTATTTTTAGTTTTTTAAGGAACCTCCGTACTGTTCTCCACAGTGGCTTTATCAGTTTACATTCCTACTGACAGTGCAAGAGGGTTCCCTTTTCTCCACACCCTCTTTAGCATTTATTGCATTTATTGTTTGAAGATTTTTTTGATGATGGCCATTCTGACTGGTGTGAGGCGATACCTCATTGCAGTTTTGATTTGCATTTCTCTAATAATTAGTGATGTTGAGCATCCTTTCATGTGTTTGTTGGCAGTCTGTATATCTTCTTTGGAGAAATGTCTATTTAGGTTTTTTTCCCAATTTTTTTTTTTTTTTTTTCTTTGTGATACGCGGGCCTCTCACTGTTGTGGCCTCTCCCGTTGCGGAGCGCAGGCTCCGGACGCGCAGGCTCAGCGGCCATGGCTCACGGGCCCAGCAGCTCTGCGGCATGTGGGATCCTCCTGGACCGGGGCACGAACCCGTGTCCCCTGCATTGGCAGGCGGACTCTCAACCACTGCGCCACCAGGGAAGCCCCTCCGCCCATTTTTTGATTGGGTTGTTTGTTTGTTTTTTTTGATATTGAGCTCCATGAACTGTTTGTATATTTGGGGGATTAATCCTTTGTCTGTTGCTTCATTTGCAAATATTTTCTCCCATTCTTAGTTGCGGCATGTGGGCTTCTTAGTTGCAGCATGCGTGATCTAGTTCCCCCACCAGGGGTCAAACCCAGGGCCCCCCTGCATTGGGAGCGTGGAGTCTTACCCATTGGACCACCAGGGAAGTCCCTGGGTTCTACTTTTTGGACTACCTGTTTTTGTCTTTTGAAATTCTAAGTGAATCACAGGAAACTGTGTTTAGTGTAGGAAACCAGCAAGCAAAGTTACCAGCCAATTTTCTTGAAACTCTAACTGGTAATTGCCCTGGACTTAATGGTATTTACCTTTGATTGGTTAATCCATGGTGTTTCAACAGATGTTTCCCTTTGCTCAGCTTAGAGAAGTCTCCCTGTGCTTCTCCCTCCACCTACTCCACCCCCACCCCCTTTTGCCCCCCCAAAACCCTCTTTCCTGCAGCGTCTTAAAATATACCTCTCACCCAGATGTTAGACACAATGTATGTATGCAGTGAGTATAAATTAATTATAATTAATTTAACTGTAGAGATACTAGCAGTAGGTTTATTGCAGCATGAAATTATTGCTTCCTCTCTGATTTTTCTGGGCCCTGTATAGTGTTCAGGCTTTTGAAAGCACTTATTGTTAAATACCAGAAGCGAACTAATTTTTGTAGTGTCCGCGCATCCGTAGGCACGTGTGAGAGGACAGCACGTCAGCCTAGTCACCTGATCAGCTGGGTGGGCGTCTCCTGGGCGCGGTGCTAAGCAGCTGCAGCATCACTGCTGCTCCTTTTCCATGCATCTCAGTGGCTGTGATGATACCTTAGAAAGCAGAGGGAGCTGGCAGCTCGGGGCTTGCAGCCCTGCTGAGCAGTGGTCCATTTCAAAGCAGCATATTCATGTTTTAAATAGAGCTCTGGAGTTGCTGGGGCCGCTCTGTTGCTTGCTTCAGAGCTGAAGCTGTGGTGACTGGATATCTGAAAAGAGGCATTCAAAACCCCACTGTCTTCTGCCTCTGTGTCAAACTAGGGCTTTTTTGCAACCCTTTCTTTGGCATGCCATTCATAGTCTCTTCTTCTTAAACCTGTCGGTTGTTACAAGATTATGAACTGAATGTCATGTTTTGACGGGTTAGGGTGGAAAGCCAAACGGGAAACCTTTGGAGGCTGCAGGCGTCTTTGTGCTCTCCGGGGCTGAAGCAGCAGCCGGTCAGGCAGTCGTGGCTCTTCCAGCTCTAAACTGAACCAGCTTGTGGATCGTTCTACCTCAGCCTTCAACATGTGCGTTTATTCACAGTGAGGTGTGCTGAGGAGGGGGGGGCATTTGCAGAGGCCCGAGTCAGAGTCCCAGGTCCCAGGTGGGAACCTGGAAATATGTTCCAAGCTATATTATAGGGAGCCAGGGTGATGGTTGTGGTCCTTGCAGCCCTCTGAGAAGTTTCACATGCCCTGGTTGTGAAGAACCTGGAGAGAAGCTAGAGGTTGCCATTGTATTCCCATAATTTAGGCCCATTTGGACGTCCTGCATAAGGAGTTAGCTGAATCTTTCTAACAGGAAAGTCTTGTGTGGCATATTGACATAATGTGTACAGGGTGTGTGAACAGGCTGTGGATATGCACTGAAGAAGCATCAGTGTGTGCTTTTTTAGAGTCAAGGTGTCTGATCTTTCTCCATGGCCTGGGAAGGTGAGTAGGGCACATGGTTGATTGCCCTTTGGAGACTGCAGCAAGAGGGGACACATCATCACAGAGCCAGGCCATGGAGCCACGCAGGTGCCTGTTGAATGAAGGAATGAGAGGAGGTGGTGCTAACAGTGAGGAAGAAAAGGACCGAGGCCTTAGGAGGGGAAGTAGGAAGGGCCTAGGTTGGGCAGATGGTCCTGGTCAGTGGTCAGCAGCTGTGTCAGAGCCCGTGGGGTAGCCAGAGGGTTTTCAGCAGGCAGGTGGCCCAACTTGACTTCTGTCCCTCCAAAGTTTATTGCACTAATGATTTCACCAGTCCTTAGAAGCCTTAGCCCTGGGAATATGAGTCCCTCTCCCCCGTCATTTACCCTCAAATGATATCTGTATTTTATCATCCTGTAAGATAATCATATGTCTAGGATTGTCGGTACTTTATAATTGGACTACTTAACCCACAAACCAAATTAGGTTTATTTTTATTTAGATTTTTCTCATTGTGACCTAGGATGTGTATGTAAATAAGAGGAGGTTCCTTTTTTTTTTTAAGGCAAAAACATGTACTGTATATTTGCTTTAAAGGTTTGCTAAGAATTAACAAAATTATTTTGTACTGATTATTTTTATAATTGAACTGATGTATGCTTCAGTTAACGATCCTTAATGCTTTTTAACAGGTAGCTATGTGCTATGAGTCTTATTGATTTGATCAGAGGTAAATGTGATTACTTATTTTTAGAATTTAAAAAATGCATACATAGATGTAATATAGTATAATATATAATCTATACATAAAAATTTGAAGCTTTCTGATAAAGTCCACTCGGCTACTTTTACCGCCAAAAGCTGACTTTTAGGGTTCTGAGCACTGTGGAATTGTCCGTGCAGAATCTGCTCACTTAGTTAACAAGGTTGGAATTCCAGCAACAGCAGAAGGCTCCCTGGAGCTGCAGAGAAGACAAGTCACCGTGCTGCGTGTTTGCAGTCAGTACTGAAGCTTTACTGAGTGACCCTCGATTGTCAGTTTTCTTCATAAGATTTTTTGGTGAGGTCTGTCTCTTTCCAGGAGTAATGGAGACTCCTGGCAACCATATCAACGTGACTTTGACTCAAGAATGAGGAGCACTTAGTTTTTTCCACTTTTCAGTTAACGACATTGCCGGAAAAATTAACTGGGGTGGGCAAACAAAACCAAAATCACCCTGAAGTAAGTTTTGTTGAAAGCCTGAAATGAATTGCTTAGTAATTTATAGTAGTTTGGGTATGATATTAACCTCAACTTTGAAGAGACTAAACTTCAGTTTAATATTACAGCGACGAGCTCAACCAGATTGGAAGATCTGAGTTATTTAGATGGACAGAGAAATGCTCCCCTTCGGACATCAATTAGGTTACCGTGGCACCACACGGCCAGAGGCAGGGCACAGGAAGTTAAAGGTATTTATCTTTGCCTCCTCTGTGATCATGGCTATGATGAGCTCATTCAGTAAATACGGAAAGTCTGTGGTAACCAGCATTCAAGCCAGCTGTTTTAAAAACATGCTGTGAAGTGTGTGTGCGAAAAGTTTATCTTTTAGTAAGGTGTGCTAGGAGGCCATCCTTAACAGTTTTGGGACTTCTTCCTTATACTATGTGATTAACTTGCTTCTGGAGTTGAAAAACTATTCTGCAATACGTTGTTTTGAAGTGAGGAGTCCTTTAACACTCACTAGATTTTTTTGGTCACCAACAAAGAATCGGCTTTGTTACAGTTCCTTGGGCCGCATGGGCCACCTCCTGCTTCTTCTGCCCGTAGTGCACAGTTGGGTGGCCAGTAATCTCACCATAAGGGGCGCAAAGCACCACCACACCCTGATAAGAGCTGGGACTCTGTCTCCAGGGAAAATGCATTTCCATTTTATTCCTATAGGAGTGGAAGAAACATGTCTTAAGTACTGTTTCAGATAAACTGATGAGACATGGTTTGGTCCCTTCACCACTTTCTCTCTCACAAAGAGACACTTTGTGTCTCTCTTGAGTCATGAGAATAACTTAGAAGAATGAAAGGACTAGAAAGTCCTTTTAATAGGACCCTTTGTAAGGCCAATAGGGTACGATAAATGAGGTATTAGCAAGTATTACTAGAACCAAACTGGTAATATTAATACTTGCAGATCCCTTGTGTTGTAAAGCCAAAGTCTGTGCTAAAAGTAACGTACAAGCAATGATAAACTGAGTTTTTTAGTGTATAAAATTACGTCATTCTTCTAAAATAATGATCTTTTTTTTTTTCCTAAGCACGATTTGCTCCCTACAAGCCGCAAGACATTTTGTTGAAACCCCTGTTGTTCGAAGTACCGAGCATAACTACAGACTCTGTGTTTGTGGGAAGGGATTGGCTCTTTCACCAGATAGAAGAAAACTTGAGGAACACAGAGTTGACAGAAAACAGAGGAGCAGTGGTTGTTGGAAACGTGGGCTTTGGGAAGACGGCGATCATTTCTAAGTTGGTGGCACTGAGCTGCCACGGAAGCCGCATGAGGCAGATTGCTTCCAACAGCCCCGGTTCATCACCGAAAAGTATGTCCATGTTTAACTGCTTGTCTAGTTTATTATATTACTGTAAGATAGGTGGAGGAAATTGCTGTTTGGATAGACATAAATTCCCCATTTTCCTCAAGTTGTCCCAGCTGCTCTATCAGGTTTGCGATTGTGTGCTGGAGAACTATCAATATTTATCTCTCATGGTCCTCTGCAGCTATAACCCGGCTTGAGGCCAGCCCTCCCTGGTGTTCTCCCAACTGTCAGGCCTGTGCCCCTCTTGATGTGGGCAGTGAGGCCTGATCAGATGCTCTGGGGAATTCAGGGCCCTAAAACTGAGTGGGTTAGACTTCTGGCACAGCAAGCCAGAAGGAGTCTGCGCAGAATTCGATTGCACCCTGTTTTCCACAGCCTTTGTCTTCTATGCCAGATTTACCAAAAGTATAAAAACTAACCTAAAATCAGCAGGAGTAGCCAAATAGTTGACTATTCTTAGCTTACTTTATATGTTAAAAAAAAGAAAGTGTCTCTAACATGGTAAACAGGGACAAGTGAGCCAGGAAAGATTTTTTTTTTTTTTTTTTTAACCAAAAGGAATGTAATAAAGGAAACCAGAAACAGCAGTTCTCCTGGGAGGGCACCTAGATGGTGGAAGACAGGGCTGAGAGGGAGCCTTGTATCTCCATTTGGGCCTTTGCATTTGTTACCATGCTCACTCATTACCTGTTAAAATAATTTCTGGGTCCGACCAAGAAATGTGTTCAATATTCCACCCTATCCTTGTTGTAAATAATGAAACTAGTCTCTTCGCTGCAGCTTCAGATTCCTCCCAGGATCTTCCTTTCACTCCACTGCTTTCACCAAGTTCTTCTACGAGTGGTATCAATGCAGCTAAATCCCCCCCTGGGTCTGGGTCTGATACTCCTGAGAACCAGAGACCAAGAGAGGATGCAGTGAAATACCTCGCTTCTAAGGTAATCTGCTCCTGATCTATGGGAGCCTTGCAAAGAGAGAGAGGTTTGCTAGTTTGCCTTTTGAGAAATGAATTTTAAAAAGGGATCTTAAAACAGAGACAAGAGTTGCTTAATGCAAAAGTGTAGCTTTTGATAAAATTGTGGTAGAGTATGCCAGATAAAAGGTATTAATGAAAATTAGTATCTTAGGACACTGGCAGTAGACTTTTATTCCTCCTAAACAATGGATTGAAAGAGTTCCTCAAAGCAGCCAGAGGTATCATTGCACTTGCCACAAATCCATCCTTATAAGCATGTGTCCTCTTTCATTTCATATGAGAGCAGGAGATTGGGAGCCTTTAACCCAGTGACCCAGAGCTCCGCCCCACCTGCACTCTGTTGCCTAGAGCCCTTGGTTACAAGTGTCTTTCTGTCAGAGGTGTTTTGTGATGTTGTAAGAGACTTGGCCAATTTTCCCTTCCTAGATTCATGGTCAGTCATGATCCTTCTGAAATTTTCTATCTGCTTGACATCTGGCACAGGTTCATAAGCTGCCCTCCTGCATTGAAGCGGTTACACCTCTCATTCTTGGTGAGCCACTTGGGTCTCCTGGGGCAGCAGTGGCGTGAGTTGGTGGAGCTGGAGAACCACCAGGGGTGGACAGCGGTGAGAAGCATCTAGCAAGGAAAGCCCCTGGGGTGAGGTTGGTGCAGGGGAACTGAAAGGAAGGCTTCTCTGCCCCAGATCCCTTCTCCTCGCTTCTGCTTCCCAGATGAGGGCCGTTCCTCACCCGGCATGGGCAGCCCTGACGCCCTGACCACTGATTTGGGGCAGTGCTCTGGTCATGAGTGGGTGATCTGAGATGAGGGATGTAGTGCAGACTTCAAAGCCACCCCGTGACAGTGATTTTTCAAACCACTTTGTGACCCATAATGTGAAATACATGTTACACTAAACACCTGATACTCAGACACAGCATCACACACCCAACTGAAGAAAAAGCATTGTAAGACTACACTTATTCTTACATCCTATAAAATGCACTGTATTAAATTAAAAAAAGAAAAACTTTTATGGCTCCAAATTGGTTTCATCATCCACTGTTGGATTGCCAAACACCATGCTAGGTGGACTGTGGTACTAGCTCATTGGTGGTTCGTACAAGCTCACAGGTCCTCTTGCGTTGCAGCTAATCTCTTTCCAGGTGAGAGGTGAAGAGCAGTCAGCTTTCCTCTGAGTGTCGATGATAAATTTAATCAAAAACAGAAGGGGGCTTCCCTGGTGGCGCAGTGGTTGAGAGTCCGCCTGCCAATGCAGGGGACACGGGTTCGTGTCCCGGTCCGGGAGGATCCCACGTGCCGCGGAGCGGCTGGGCCTGTGAGCCATGGCCACTGAGCCTGTGCGTCCGGAGCCTGTGCTCCGCAACGGGTGAGGCCACAACAGTGAGAGGCCTGCATACCACACAAAAAACCCCAAAAAACCAAAATAACAGAAGGCACAGGGCAGTTCCAAATTGGCCACATCTACTCCTGCCACTTGCTTTTTAAGAGTCTGATCCCAGATATTCCATTGAGTGTCTGTTACCCTGGCGAGGCATTCAGGCTGTGTGTCTGCTGCCCTCACCTCTGAACCGTAGCTAGTGGTTCTTGTCCTACTTATGTAGGGGTTGTAGGGCTGAGTGGGACAGCAGTGTCGCAAACCCTTCTGAAAAACATAAAGCGCTTTACATGAATGTGTTTTGACCTTTTTCACCCCCCTTACCTTGTACGTATATCCCTCCATTCATCCTCGTTTGGGAAAGTCTCAGATTTTTCATTTATCGGCAGTGTGCCTCTCCTCTCAAGACAGTGCCGCATTTGGCACTTTCCTGGGGGTCTCTCTCATGAATAGCCTGTTGCCACTTCAAATCCACCCCAACAAAAAGGATCCTCTCAGTGCTTGGGCAGGACCCTCCCTCCTCCTATGTGTCCCTTCACAAGATAGGCAGGAATTTGGTAGTGTCTGATGTTGATCCTTCAAACAGTGTTGCTGTTGAACTTCTCCATGGTGTCGCTGGCGGCGGCCCTCCTGCCAGGGAGAGGAAGCAGCTGTGACTTGAGAGCCTGGCTTTCATTGCCACCAATTTTATCTGCTTTTTGGGAGCCGCAAATGAGTTCCCCAAGGAGATGCTGCTGTCTTTGAAAACAGAAGTGTAGTGAATATGGTACTTGTGGATGTCGAGAATGTCGGGATTGCTTGGAATTGTTTCAAGCCAGGGTAGGCTTTAAGTTTTATGAATGACTTTTATGAGTTTATATTCAATAGAGTAACTTGTGCTGATCTTAGTGCCAGTCAAGATGGACTTGTGGCTGCAAGTAAAAGTCGGCTTAAAATTTGCCAAACTTCAGAATTCCTTCCAAAGGAAAGGGATAACTGAATCACTTAAGCGAAATGACGACTCAGCCTTGGGGAATAGAAGCAACGTTGCTTGTTATCTCGGAGAACGGGAAAATTGCATCCCTGGTGGAGAGCCTGCAAGGTGCCGTGTGAAGGGGATGAGGCGATGCTGACAGCTCTGCTTCTTCTGCAGGTCGTGGCCTACCACTACTGCCAGGCCGACAACACCTACACGTGCCTGGTGCCCGAGTTCGTGCACAGCATCGCTGCTCTGCTCTGCCGGTCCCATCAGCTGGCCGCCTACCGAGACCTGCTGATAAGGGAGCCCCAGCTCCAGAGCATGCTAAGCCTCAGGTCCTGTGTGCAGGACCCAGTGGCCGCTTTCAAGAGGGGTGTGCTGGAGCCACTCACAAGCCTGAGAGACGGTACCTCCCAGCAGCCACCCGTGACCTCCCTCTCCCCAGGACAGTCCTCAGAAGCGGGGTGGGGGTCCACTTGACTGTGGGGTACGAGTGAAGTGGGCCCAGGGAGGATGTGAGTACATCTCTCCTCCCCTTCCTCAGAACCGTCTCCCCAGGGCTCCTCCTGGCTCCACTCCAGATGGCCTTGTTTTAAATGTTATATCTCTAGTGAGAATTAACTCCACGGTTGAACATTTCCAAAGTAGCTAATTTGTAACCATAGGTTACTTAGATGACCTGCTCTCTAGAAACTGCTGCCTGCATATTTTGCACTCCTAAGGTGGAGGGGTGTAAGTTGATTGTTTGGGGAACTTGCCGGCATGTTTTTCCAGGGGCCTCTGCTCAGTTGAACCTGAAGCTGTTTCTAGAAGTGTCCGTTTGGTTTTTTTGCCCTTGAATCTTCTCCACAGTGGGGGCGTTAGTGATATTATGGGCCTTTGACTTTCCATCTTCCCTCCCCCCTTTTGCTCGTCACCTTTTGAGCTCCTTTACCTGCCTGTGTCGCACTTCTGCCAGATGGTGCCAGAGAGAGGGAACTGAAGCAGATATGTCAACATTGCACCTCATCCCTGGGCAGAAAGTTGGCACTAATGAATAGAAAACTAGATTCGGGCTTGGAGGAGTCTCTGCAGCAGAGTTCTCGCCTCCATTGGCTGTGTGCCTCGGACGGGAAGCTTTGCCCCTTGAGGGTCAGATTTCCTCGCCAGAATCCATCCAGGGAGCTCTAGGGGGGGTTGCGGGGGGCGGGGAACCCAGAGTCTTTGGCAGGTTTCATCTCGGTCTGTGTTGGTTATCTTTGCTGTAGCTCACCCCAGTGACAGGAGTTTTTGAAGAGCTAAGTGTATCATATACATGGGTGAGATTCTGCTAATGTGTGTAATACAGTACGTTTCTGAAAACTGTTTGGTGTGAACTGGTTTTCTTTAGGCTCTGCGCTCTGGTTTTCATTACAAATTTAATAGAAAGTATGCTTCTGTGAAAACCATTTCTTCTGCCAAACGCAAACCTTTTCAGTTTTCCCTAACACTTTAAATTGTGCATTAAAATACACTGGGTGGTGCTATCTTATAGAAATGTATAATTTCCTAATTAAAAAAAATTATTTTCTCCTTTAGAGCAGAAAATTCCTGAAGAAGAATACATTATTTTGATAGATGGTTTAAACGAAGCTGAGTTTCATAAACCTGATTATGGAGATACACTTTCTTCATTTATTACCAAGATTATTTCTAAATTCCCTGCCTGGCTGAAGTTGATTGTGACTGTAAGAGCAAATTTTCAGGTAAAAAAAGAGTTCTCAAATGTCTTTCCAAGACCCCAAACCCCGATTTTACAGTTTTTACAATTACAATTTTAGATTAATACTAACAGCTTAAACTATTGTAAACCATTTAGCTGCTGAATTGAAAACTGTATTAGAGCTTTGAAATGTTAGTGCACAGAGCTCTAAACAGGCAAAACTCTGACCTTTTTACCCCCAAGGCACATTTATCAAGATGTCAAGTGAGTTCCTTATTATCATCAAGCTGTACTTGTGCTTCTAAAATAGAAGTGTCTCGCCCTGGTTCACCATAACTCAGTTTGGGGGGCTCTTTGAGGTGCCTGGCTAACAGGTCTACCAGAGTTTAAAGTTATTCCTGCTTGTAGTTATTTGTATGGGTTTGCAGTGGGACTTTGTTTTTTTGGGTTTTGTTTGTTTGTTTGTTTGTTTTAATGAAGGGAAAAGGGAGGGATGAAGGAGGAAGATTTTTAAGGCCTATTCTGAATAAAAGCCTAGTTTTTCATAAAACTTAGACATGAGATAATGCTTCAGCGAGATGAAGAGTGTGTGTGTGTTTTTTTTTTTTTTTTTTTTTTTTTTTGT